ACATACACCAGAGATGGCGGGTTTGAATCCAGCCCGGGCCTGCCAAGCATCAATGACAACTACAACCAAAAATAGCCAGGCGTTGTGGTGGGCACCTGTAGTCCCAGCTACCTGAGGCTGAAGCAAGAGAATCGTTTAAGCCCAGGAGTTAGAGGTTGCTGTGAGCTGTGATGGCACTGCACTCTACCCAGGGTGATAGCTTGAGACTCTGTCTCAAAACATACATTAAAAAAAAAAAAGAATGTGAGTAGTTGGCCCAACTGATATTTGAAGGAAGGGCATTCCAAGGAGGATCTAGCCCGTGCAAAGGCACTAAAGCAGAACTGGACCCAGAATGTTAGAGGCACAGCAAGGAGGCCTATGTGGCTGGAGCAGAGTGAAAAGAGAGAGAGAGAGAGGGAGGAAAGGAACAATGCAGGTTGTGCAGGGCCTGGTGGGCCAAGGGGAGGATTTGGCCTTCTTTCCCCCAGAAAGGTGGGAACCATGGAAGGCTGTGGGCAGAGGAGCGGGCCCTGGCTCCCGTGCTTCCAGGCACTCTCTGGTGGCAGCTGCAGGCAGGAGAGATCAGGAAGGAGAGATTGTGGGGGCCAAGGGTGGGAGCCAAGGACCAGGGAGGAAGGGACTGGGCTGGTCCAGGTGAGCAATGATGGAGCTGGAATAAGGGGAAAATGCCCACCTGAAGCCTTTGGTTCTATAATATTAAAGGATGTTTCTCCCCCAAACAAAATCATAACATAACTCTTATATAAATATAAAACAAAGAAGTGCTTTAAAAGTTTGGTGAACTCATTAATTAGCATGGTAACCTGTAAGATTTTACAGCTTATTCAAAGGAGAATTTTATATTTTTTAATTCTTTTTACTTTATTTTATTTATTTTTTGAGACAGAGTCTCACTTTGTCGCCTTCAGTAGAGTGCCTCAAACTCCTGGGTTCAAACGATTCCCTTTCCTTAGCCTCCCAAGTAGCTGGGACTACAGATACTTGTTACAGTGCCCAGCTATTTTTAGAGATGGGGGTCTTGCTCTTGCTCAGATTGATCTCAAACCTGTGAGCTCTGGCAATCCACCCACCTCAGCCTCCCAAGAGTGCTAGAACCTCAGGAGGGAGACACCGCTCCTGGCCTTCCAAAGAAGAATTTTAAAAATGAACACACAGGCTCGTCGCCTATAGCTCAGCAGCTATGGCGCCAGCCACATACACTGGAGCTGGTGAGTTCAAAACCAGCCCAGGCTTGCCAAACAACAATGACAACAACAACAACGAAAACAAAAATAGCTAGGTGTTGTGGCGGGCACCTATAGTCCCAGCTACTTGGGAGGCTGAGGCAAGAGAATCCCTTGAGCCCAAGAGTTGGAGGTTGCTGTGAGCTGTGATGC